TTATGAAGTTTGTTTATGGATACTGTCTTGGGTAACAAAGTCATATATCTGCTATCAGTAATCTGCATTTAGAAGGCTATCTTCCAAGAATTTGCATCCTCCTTGAAAGTTCAGAAACAAGACTTCCTCCTGCAAAGCAGAAGAAAAAACCTCTCTATCCTGTCTCCAGCAACTCACATTAGAACTATTTATTCAAGAGGCAATTAACAGAGGTGGTGTATTTCCCACTAGAAACATCCTGCAATCCACTTTTGCAGGTCCCAAACACATAGCTTTGCCTTACAGACCAGCTGAAGAGACAGTCAGGCTTGCTATTGTAAGTGGCGATTTGGCAGGAACCAACAGAGCAGGCAATCCTGTCCCCAGTTGTCTCTTTCAGCTGCCATAGTCCAATAGCCCTTAGGAAAATACTCATGATCATCATCCAGCTGTTGTATCATCACTGGGCTTAGTGTTGTTCAAAAGATAAAATCCTACAAAAGCAACAAGAGATTCTTCTCCTTTTCCAACCTATTTGTTGGACAGCATTATTTTATAAAGCTAGGAACTGTAGAGTTAACAGGTTTTAATTATTTCTGCGCTTAAAAATACATGGGTTTAATCTTATTCCATTAAAGGCATGCTCACAGCCATGAGTTTGCTCTCACCAGTAAAAAAGAACAGGACAAGTCCCAGTATTTTACTTCCCCCCTCACCATCTGTTCTGTGCTCTCAGGCTCTCCAAGGTCAAATCGCCTTTAGGGATTCAAATCAGAGATAAGATGGGGATGACATTTCTAATCTTTGTTACACAGGCACAGAATTTATTAGTTTTGGATACAAGGAGCTTCGTTTTCAGTATGAGCGAACACAGAGCCAAAAAAAAATAATCCATGTTACCTGGTATGTTTGGTGGACTGCACCAGCCAGAATCCCCAGTTGCAAGAACCAGCATTGCCAAGGGCTGAACAAAGGGATTTTAGACTGTATATTGGACCTCAGATTCAAGAAGGCAAGGTTTCTAAGTGCAAACAAAGAACTTTTTTTCTTTTTTTTTTTTTTTAAACCTCAAAAGTAAACGCAAAAAGTAATAGAAAGTGTTCCATTCCTGGCTCTGAGAAACTTCTGGCTGACTTTAAGGGGCAGTGCAGTCAACTCAGAATACTCCTGAGAATGGTTATTAATATAAACAAAACTGCAGCTAAGGGTTAGTCCTGCCAAACCTCCCTTGCCTATGCCCCGCACCAGAAAGCGCCAGAGTCCCTGATGGCAGAACAGGTGCTGTTCCCACTGGCACTGTGATGCAGAGAAACCACACTGCTGCAAATGACAATACAGCCTTGGTTCTTGCCACAAACATAGCGCCACTGGTTCTGATAAGTTAAATGCAATAAGAAAGAAGACTAGTGGTTTAAAAATAGGCCAGTCCATTTTTTCCAACATGTGACAGGAACACATCATTGTACCACAGCCTGAGCTTGTAAAGGCTGTCACCAGCTGGCCTTCTCCTTGGTCAGAAGAAGAGCATTTTCCTCCTCTCACAAATGCAGCCCACCCATACCGTAACTCAGGCTGTGCATAAGGAATGAGAATTTTGCCAGGAGGCCACAAACCCCCCTAAAGACAGCCCGGACTGTGGTAATCTTCAGGCTGCCTGATTTGTTTCACTAGATTCCTTCATGAGAACTCTACAGCCAACCACCGTGACTAAACAACAGCTGGCACAGAGGAGGAGCACTTGTCAAACTCAGCAACCGGGATGCTTTTCATTGTTTACTGAGATGCCTTAGGCTTATGAAAATAGGTTCCCATTTTCAACAGGACAGAAAGAATACAGGAGGCAACTCAGGAGAGTGCCATGAGGAAAGAGGCCCCAAGCTTTAATATACCCACAGCAGCATCTTCAAAGCTATGAAAGAGGCTACTATGTTATTTGCCCACCTGAAAAACTTTTAGATACTTAGGCTCAGAGGCAGAGTGAGTGAAATACTGAAGGAACCCTTAATTACCCCTTTAGAAGATATTGTCATTTCATCCCACTAGAACATGCAAAGTGGCTCCCTTCCAATGCAAGGTAAAGGGATAACGAGAAAAGCTGGGGCAGCATCACAAGCCAGAAACCCAGCACCACTAAGAGCCAGAGGTGTGCTGGAATGTAGGGTTTGGCTCACAACACCTTAAAGGCGATTTCTTTTCTTCCTTTCCCCCTTACAGGAACAGTTCTTTTAAAACCCATAACATCTTCTGGGGAGTTGCACAGATCGTGGTGAAGTAGATGTTAGCTTCACCTTAGGAAGGCACAGCAAACAGAGTGAAGAAAAACAGAGTGAATTTCAGCAGCAAACTACCTAGCACTGATCTACTCCCTCAATGTGCGGCTCGGGCGGTGAGGGGGAAAGATGCTCCAGATGTATACTTCTTGAAAAAAGTTACCATGTCTCCTTTTCATCAAATTTATGACATATTTACTTGGAGGTTCTCTGGTGATTTATGCTCCTCCCCAGTACATCTTTGCCCTGTGTCCCCTCCACGTGCTGACAATTCTTCTGTCCCTCCTCCCCCCAATTTTGTCCCCCTTGAGCTCATTTTGGAGAGGCAAAAGTCAGGAACAGGCATGTGGAGCAGCTGTTTGGCTTTATGGCCCTGAAAAAGAGTTATAAGGGCATGGTTGCTCTTTTGTCTCTTTAAAACTCGGACAGGAAAAGTACCTTTCTGGTGAGTTTTTTGCTCTGACAGAGCAATCGAAGTGCCAGAGAAGCTGGAGAGCTCCCAGAAAGCCAACCTAATTTTATACTTCTGTCTCATTTTAAGGGGTTCATAATTGTAAATACTGCAAGAATGCCTAATCCAGCCAAAATCCAGGAACATCAACTATGTTGCTTACTGGCCTACAGAAACATATCATTATCGCTTGCCACTGACACTCTCTCCAGGAAGGAAAATATGTTTTATTCAGTTGTTAACATTATGTCATTAGGGAGACCTCAAGTGGAAATCTGCTTCTTGTTAACTCATCTTCCACAAGCTTCAGCAAGTTTTAAAAAACAAAACAAAAAACGTCAAACAAACAACAAACTTGTACATGAGAAAACTCACTAGCCTACAACAAAGCTGTCATGTAAAAGATATCTCATGTCATAAATTAAACAAAATTTCCCCTTCTTAGTACCATAACAGTAAAACTACAGGAAAATATTTATGGATTGCAAACATATGTAAGAATCAGATTGCTCCCTCTGTTCCTTCACTTAGGAAGCACATTCTTGTGGTTCCTAAGTGTATTTCTATACACAGCTGTATTTCTATAGACTTGTCCTGTATTTTTGTTAAAACAATAAACTCATGGCAAGCCTATTGCTACTGCAAGAGGAAAGCTCAGATGTTCCATTTCCCAAAAAACAGAAAGACAGTGATGTTTCCTGCAGCGCTCTGCGACAGGATCTTTGATTATTTAAGTGCTTTATATACAGCAGGTCAAAATCCCTTGCATCTACCTCCAGAAAGTTCCTATATATAGAAGACAGCACTTAAGCAAACACAAGCTTATTTCTTTAGCCTTGAAGTCAGCACAGCAGTCCAGTTCCTATCAATAGCATTTTCACACTGCTTCATGCATAACTTAGTTACAGTGCCAGTTCACCATTTTGCGCATTATTAGATAAAACAGGGATAACTTTCATTCACCTCAGCAGAACAAGATTGTAGAGTTCAAGGTCCCACAAGGCCTTTCTGACTGCAAGCCCAGTCCCAGAAAAGGCTGGAGCAGCCAGTGCTGTCGCTGCTCCAGACCCCAATCCTCCTCCTGCTTGGATCACACCTGACAAGCAACGCTGACGTGAGTTCTTCTGATTTTAATAGAAGTGCATGTGGTATTCTAAAGCCTTCACTCTTGGAGTCTCCACTTCCAATTAGAAAAAGCCCTTCTAACTGCAGAAAAGACCCTAAAAACACAAAGCAGATGTACTGTAGAAGCTTAACCTAGAAAGCACTAAAAAGCACAGAGTAACACCCGGATGTACGTGATTAAGTCGATTTAGTATTTTGGAGTGGTTCCACCTCTTCAATTTTTCCCCAAATTTTAAAAGCAAACAATATTAAATTGCCATGTTCTGAAGAAGTTTGCAGGAAAGGGGAAGGACTTGAGTCAGAAGAACCAGACAATGAAAAACTGAAGGAAACAAAAAACAAAACAAAGTTTTCCCAGTATCTCTTTTCAACTTGTCTGAAAGCTATTTAAAAGTTTTAAGAGGGTCATTGATGCTCCAGGGTTTTCAAATCTCACTTTGAGCTACAAGTGACTACCCACTATTTAAAGCAAAGTAACTTTCCTTACACGTTTTTAGTCTACACATTTTCTGTATGTTTGTGTCTTCTCAGAACATGAAAACGATCAAAGGCTACCATGCAGTTGTTTTTCCCCACCTTTTTCCCTTCCTCTTAAAGGGATTTTTTTAAAGCAACTGATGTTATAAATAGAATAAATCTAACTGTTTCACTGTAGTTCATTATGGATGTTTCTGCATGTGACAAAACTTCGTGTATCATCAGCATCAGAAACTGCCAAATATCACTCAATACTGAAACAGCTAAAATATTACCCCCGCAGACTAAGGAACGTAAGCAGGATATTGTATCCTGCAAATGCCAAACAGCAGGTACCACCATCACGCCTGACTTTAGGCAAGGCTCCCTCCCTCTCATTCTTGATCCATAAATCCACAAAGATGTTTTGAATGGAAACATCAGTCTACTGACAATGTATCTGGATGCCAGAACCTGCATGCAGCTATGGTGAATGCAGTCACTTCCTCTTCTTGACAATTCCCAAAACCCTTCGCTGACATTCCATTTAATAAAAAGTGGTGTCACTAAGAATAAATGGCATTTCCTGTTCAGCAGCTGAATCCTTGCTTCTGTTTATCTAGGGAAGATTCTGTAAACAAAACCAACCAGAAGACTTGACAGGGAAACACTAGATATTCCTTTGTGCTATTAGTATTACAAACTCATTTTTGGCTTACCATGGATTCACTGATTAAGAGGAGAAGAAGAGCCTCTTCTACGTTGTCTTGAGGGCAGTATGCACTGAAAGACAGAACACGTTTTCCTGAGGAAGGTCAAGAATTATCCTGTCAGCCTCTTTCTCATTTCACAAGAGGAGCAGTAACTTGAAACATCTCATGCATAATTCATTCGCTAGGCAATACCTTCTTTTGCAGGTTCTCACAATTAAAAGCTCTGCAACATATCCTAGATGAGCTATACTGAACCATAAATAGATTATTTCCATTTCATAGCAAAGACAGCTATTTGTTCTGGGGGAAAAAAAAAAAAAAAAAAAACACTCAAGGTTTAATGCTTTATTTTTCCAGCAGGCCTCTTGATGGGAAGTTAAGAACAAGAACACACAAAACTACTACAAGAATCAGTGACATAATTAGCAGCGCCAAAGAGTGTTCAAACACTCTCCTTCCTCCTGCCAATAAACTGAAATAAAAAAGAACGCTTACTTCTCTTCTGTGTACAGCTCAGGCCTCCGACAAAGAAGATTGCTAACGTAAGACTGATCTTCCTTGTTCATGAACTCAGGAAGCGGATCAGATAAAGGGCTCCAGTAACAGTCTTCACTGAGGGAATGGAGAAGTACTTGTGCTAGCTGTTTGGCTGCAGTCTGGAGATCAGTGAACAGTACAGAAAAAGACATATCAGTGAAGCCTTCTCCAACACAAAAGATTCACCCCTCCCCATATCGCACCAGGAGATGTACCAACAACATGACAGGACCACTTTTCAGAAAGCTAGAGTAGCTAAAATAGCTGCTAAAAAGTCTACAGCAGTAGCAGTTTCTTCCCTCTGAAAAGGCCAGCCTTCTGCATTTACATGGTCTTGTTGCAATGCTGTAGGAAAAAAGTATCAAAAAGGCCTGACAGTTAGGGACGCTTTGGTGAATGAAGACAACCGATCACCACACAGACCACTGAGACAATCTCACAAATGTTTCTATATTAGAGTATGATGGCACTCCACTGTGTTCTCAGCCTCAGAATTTTGTATGCAAGTCTCAGCCCAGAGGCTACTTTTGTATTAGGTTTGAAAGATCAACCCTTTATCTGTTAATATCGCTCTTCCTGCAGCCTTTTATAGTGTCATCTCAGTACTGCTGCTCTCTGGGAGGAGAGAAGAGGGTTAGGAACTTTATATTGAAACAGCAACATCACATGCACTTTTTTGATCATGGAGTGGCCAAGGATCCTTAAATACTTGCTTTCCGGTTCATACAGAGCTGCCAAGCTGGGCCCAAAAAGGGGGCAAGTTGACTTTGCAAAACTATCTTTGGCATTTGTCCTTGTTCCCCACCCAACAAATCTCTAATTTTTTGCATTGTAAATAGATGAACATGCAAACAAGCACAGAGACATCAAAATGGGTGGTATCTCCTGTGAATTCTGAGCAGCACATCACTCTAAGCTGTAAAGTAAATACTGCACAGAACAGAAGCAGGCTGAAACTTCAGCTCTTCTGTGCTAATACTTCTAAATATTATTTTGGAACTTCTATGACTACTGCAATATGTATTTTATATGCAATTTACACTTTGAGATGTGTTATGAGGCCATCAAGAGTCATTTTCTTTTAAATACCAGGATAGGTACGACTGATAAACTGAACCATTACTCCACTGGAGGTATGACATCTATAGGACCAAATAAATCATACTGAGGTTAAAGTTCCTGTTACCAGATTCAGAAAAATAACTTCTTTTGATGCAAGGTTCTTTATTTTCATCCACCTCACCACATGTGAATTAATTGAATTAGTCTAAAATGCAACCACAGTAGTACACGCTGTTTCTTAAACACCAGGAAGGGAGGTTTCATAGATGTACCTAGCAAATGGCAAAGTGATCTGAATGCATAAGGGTGCCTCAAAGAAATATTGTCACATACAACCCCCTGGAAACCCCAAGACCTTCTATGCGCTCCTACTGACAAGTTACAGAAAGCCTTCTGTTTCTAACTAGGCTTTTCTATGCTTTTTATAGCCAGTAACCATGAGCAAAATGGCCTAGGGCCCTGCGACATCAGCCAGTATAATTTTATTGTCTCAGTATGTAATTATTTAGTCAGTTTTACCCTGAGGAGCCAACTCTCCTATATTTTTCCTACAGTCTTAGAGGGGAGGGGAAAAATAATATGCTAGCAACAGAAAGCTCTCTATTGGTTCACACAGAAGTAGGAGTACAGTTTGAGATAAGCCTTTCAAAAGGCTAGTACTAAATACTTTTAGTGTCTTTGATTTTAACATACAGTACAGTAGCTGTGTAAATTAGCTTCACTCTTGTTTTGAATAAGACCAAACAAACCAGAACAGGCTAAAACTCTGATTTATGTTATTACTGCCTTTGGTGCTTAAAAAAAAAAAAAAAAAAAAAAAAAAAACACAATTTTTTGCCTCTTGTGGTTAAAAAAAAAAAAAAAAAAAAAAAAAAAAAAAAGCATCATTATGCTTGAAGAACACTGTGATCCCACAAATTGGGGGGGGGAATAATGTGTTTCACTTTCATGCTTGAAAAACTTGTTTAATTAAGCACATTCCTCCCTTTGCCCTCTAGACAGCTCTTTAAAAATAAGTAAGAAAATGAAAATGCAACTTCCTGTAAAATGGAAATCCCAGGAAAAACTATTGGATGAACACCTTCAGATTTCCCTCCAGGGATAAATCCCTCAGGGATGTTGTACAGCTCTCCCCAGTTGCACAGGGACAGGAGCATTCGAGTGCCACGTTCTGTCATGGTATAGGAACAGCAGATGGTTAGACTCATTTCAGCAAAATAATAAAACAGGCGAGCAAGAAAAATCCCCTGAACCCTGATCTCAATCTGGAAAAGGATGCAACCATTTGAGTGCAACAATTATTCAAGTCACCTCTTCTAATTCCCTGCACAAACTTCCACATGCATCTGTATTCTCAATTAGGCATATAAGGTGATCCCAAGGCCACGAGAAGATTCATTTCCAGAACAGAAGTTCCAAAACACACAGATGTGAGGAACCTAGGCAAAAAAGCACCCAGGACACCCTTTCTGCTCGCACTTTCATTTTAGCTCTGCATTTGCATGTGAGCTAGACACACAGTCAGTCCATCCATTGGAATCTGGCACTCTCCATCTCCAAAATGCTCTGCAAACCCACGCCCACCTCCCTTGCCAAACTTCTCTGGAATTACACAAAACACAAAGCTGAACCAAGCACAAAACAAGTTTAGGTGTAGCAACGTCAACACTTTTAGGGCTGCAAATTTTTCATTCACGTTCTCAAGACTGCTGTTCTCTATGCTGTTGACCTTGTCACCTCATGAGTAACTTCAGGACAAGATCTCTTAAAGGGGAGACAGGGAAGAACCAGTTAAAGGTCTGAGAAGTTAAAAAAGGCACATAAATCACGTTCTCCATTTCTTTACCAGAGGCACTCAGGATAACAGGATGTAGAATGCCAACACTGACAAAAAAAAAAACCCAAACAAACAAACCACAAACTTAAACTCACTCTGTACTGTATTGAAAGGAGTTTTACAGGAAGGACACTGAAGCACCTGAGTCTAAAAGAGCACAGCTTGTTGCAAGAGCCAGAAGTACTTAATGCTTCTACATGCAAATGCAAAAAAGTGTGCATGCACACACTGAAAAGCAAGAAAGAAAACAAGGCATTATCACCTGAGGACAGCACTGTCAAACTAAATGCATCCCCATTTCTTCTACCAGGGCTAGAAAATGCACTGAAAAAAAAAACCCAAAGTAACCCACATGCCCAGGTCTGAAGGCTCAAAGGTTTCAATTGGGCAGGTCTTTGAATTAAGTGAATCACTTGACACACCATTTCCAGAAGTTTTAAAAAAGCAAGCAAACAAACAAAAAAAAGGTAGCAATCAATCAAGTGAGGACAAACACATTTTTGTCCTACTGCACCGGTTAACAAACAGAGAGAATTCCTGCATAGCAGATTACCCCACCTTCCCATCTCCCGTTCATTCCCCTTACCATTTTGAAGGTCTGAGTAGCTTTAGTTTCCACAGTCCGCAGTATTTCTCGCAGACTCCTCATTCCTTTCACAATATTCCTATGGGGAAGGCAGAAAAAAACCCCATCATAAAAAACCCAAAAAACCAGCACAGTGGAGACAAAATATTTTATGATGTGCCAAAGCTTGGCAACAAACTTGACATTCAAACAAACCCGTAAAGCAATCGCTAATATTGAGTATGCAATAGCGAGACAAGTCACTCTGAGGCACAGATAGGACAATGGCACCGAGCGAGGCAGCAACTGTAGCATGCCTACTCCAGATGGCTTCCTAGGAGAAGATCACATTCACATTTGACGAACAGAGGGGACATTTGGAAGCCTTTCATAGCTCATATTTATAAAGCAGATGCTTCTTCTTAAAAGCATCCCCATCTCCTCTTCATACACAGAGATTGTACTTGTTTGAATTATATTGAGCTTACGTGATGCTTTTAAATGACGATTCCTTTTAGGTGGTGCTTAAACACCTTGTGTCTGATGGTCCAGACACATGATGACATTACAGTGGTTTAAACAGTATATTATCAGGCAGCTAAGTTGCAGTAACTGTCTGCAAGCTTAACCTGCAATAAAAGAGGGTTAGGCAAAAAAAGAAAAAAGAAAATCATATTACTCTGCATACACCATGAGCAATTAAAGCAGACCAGTTGCCAAATGGTATCTTAATCATGTGTCTGAGCATTAAGAGAGATGCAGAGAGGAAAGATTAAACACTGGACATACTAGTTAACACATTTGCAGCCTATAAGTTCTTCAAGGCTAAGGACATGGCCCTACCACCACAGTAAGTACAAAATGGTTGAGCTCACTTTCATTGCAGGATGGAAGCTACCCAAAGAAATACAAGCTATCAGAAAAGGAGCAATGCTGTACTGAAATAAAGGCAACCAGATAAGCAGTTGTACTGGTACATTAACTGCCACTTCGGCTTATACCAGGACAATTTTCTGTGCAGACGGAGCCTAGATTTCATTTTAAGAAAGCCATACATCATAACAACCTTTTCTGTCAATCTGATTAAATTTTGAAGGTAAGCAGTACAGACTCTGCTTGTGCCCACTTTCGTGCACTGCAAACCTTTCTTGTACTCCAGAATCAATGGCAAACATTTGAAGAAATTTTAAAAAAAGTAATTATTTTCTTTGGGGAGAAGAAGAGGGGGAATAAAATGTGATCATGTTTACTATGAATACTGGCTACATAAATGCCGCCCTAAAGCTTATGGTCACCAAGTCACAGAATGCAAATGCTTGTGGCCTTACTTCCAATCAATACTCATCTCAAAATTTTAAACTTTGAGGTAATCTGTAGGTAGTGAGCGATCTACAGAAAGCAACAAAGGCAAGAGCAAAAACACTGGAGACTTGCCCCTGTGAATTAAGTCAGATGATGTCTTTGTTTTTTTCCTTCTACCTTCTCCTAATTAAAAGATGTGCTTTGAATTTATCAAGGGAAAAAAGCTCAAGGAAGTTTTTGTAAGTTGGACTTTAATGCTTCAGCACGGTCTCCAATTACAGGGCTAAGACATATGGTGCTTTTCTGTGGGTCTAGGAAAGAATATACCCACAAAGATGCAGTTCTGGACCTTGAACTGAGAAAAGCAATAAAGCATGTGGTGATATTTATGTGCATGAGTAGTGACACCAAATCCAACAGAATTTTTCACATGCTATTTATTATCAGATAGTCAAAATCAATAAATGCCCCCATCTAAACAAAATGTACCTGCCCAACTGCTCTCCTCAGTTACTGAAAACTACTGGTATTTCCTATGCTTCCTCGGGCTCCTTAAGAAGCTGGACAGAAGAGTTATGGTGTATAACAGTTCCTCAACATTTTCCAAAATGCCTATGTTTACATTTCTCATTAGGATAATGGTATTTGTCTTAATAAAGTGTCAATGAATTCCATTAACTAGCATCAGAAAGAAGATTAGTGACCCTTGCAAAGCCAATTAATTCCACATTTGGCACATACTTAAGAGATGAAAAACCTAGAGAATGTGCTAAAAAGAGACAGTTTTGTTCCCAGAGAACTGGAGCCATTTGAGTTCCACTTTTTAGACAAGGCCATAAACCAAGTCAAGCTTCATGGCAGAAACACCTTGCTCTGGGGGGAAGGGGAGAGGAAAAGGCAGGAATATTGACACACTGAAGTGAATGAAAGAATAAACAGCAAATTGCTGCCTGCCTGCAGGTAGTCAGGGTTGAAGCCATGAACCGCATGACAAACACCTAGGAACACCTTCAACAGAAGGTAAGAGTGCAAAATGGGCAGCACGGGAGGAGCATCCAGCAACCACCTCCCAGGCTGGTGCTTGTATGGTCAGGGTCTCTCAGAGAGCACCTGCTCCGCACTCTGAGCTCTCAACTCTCACGCAAACCATCTGACAACAATACCAGTTCTACAGGACTGAGGATTCGATTTGGTAGCTTTTATATTTTGAACTTTACTGAACATTATTGAGCCGTGACAGGAGACAGAGCACACCTGCCAGCAGTCTGCAAACACACCTCACTACAGGAGTTTGTCTTTCCGCTCTACTGTTCCAAGCCAGGAGGCCATCTGAGCACATATTTCATTTTAAGCATATGAATTGCTCTACTCATAACAATAAGGAACTTACAGTTCCATTAATAGATGTCCTTCATATACTAAATGTGCACTTGAAGAGATTTCTTTTTAAATTAGGACCTGAAGAAGTTAACAAAAAGAAAAGCATGTATCTGATCAGAAATACGTATATGTAGATAAGAGATGAGGATACAAACATAAAGCCCCTGGAAATCCATGGTGAATCCATTTGATTTTGTCTAGATCAGAAACTAAGCAAATCTTGAGCCTCTGCAGGACTTGCATAGAAGACTATCTGGAAATCCCAGGTACTATTGCCTCAAGCCATGGCACCATAAGCGAACATCAGATCATGGAAATTAAATGAGCTGGAAGAGTCCATGGGCCCCTCTTGCACTGCTAAGATGCCGGAAAAAGAAATGAGGAAGAACAGGAAGGGAAAAGCACACAGTCATTAAACTGCCTTGGTTTTAGCAACAAAAGTGGCAAGAGAGGCATTTAAAAATAAATTATGAAATGTGGTTTGGGATTCAATTATAGCTAATCTAATAAAGAGGAACACAGAAAATCACAGGCACAAACTGTGACAAAGAGCACCTTGAGTCCAGTCAGTCCAGCTTGGCATGAAAATCTATTTTGTTTGTACAAGTACCCTGTTAATACAGGGTAATTAATTACTAGTCCATGAATCAAAGCAGTTGTATCATGTTTATGTCATATTGTTTGGTTAACACTACACAAAATTTTAAGATACAAGAAAATAAAGATATACACTGTTTTCTATGCAAATTGCTGGGAAAAATATTGATGATGAACCAGAGTGGACCGTGGGCACAGAGGTCTGCAAAGATAGTCCCCCAACAACATGGGCACCAGAAGATCATGTTCTTATCCCCACTCATTAACTGTTAAAACAGTTAGCGGCTAACAGATGGAAGAGACCATCTTGAGACATGGCAGTTCACAGAGCCACCTCTCTGGGGAAAGCAGTACCCAAAGCACACAAACAGCAGCAATGCCATTGACTCTGCCCGGCTCCTTTTGCATCTCGCCTAGGTTTCTAAAAATTCATACTCTCTCCTTGAACAGCTGTTGATGCATAGGCACAAAACACACCTGAAGAAGCAAGTCTCAGATTCTCAGATTCCTATGAATGAAGATACAAGACAAGTAACTACAACAAAGCACATTAGAGTTTCCTAATGGCAGCCCATCTAACAGAAGTTGGGCCCTCAAAAGACAATACAAAACAAAAGCTTAGCACTTATCTAGATCCATCCAGTAGGCAGTAAGACTCACTCCCAAATTACTAGCTGCATGTCCTGGTGTCCTGGATAAGGTGCTAGACTGTGAGGATTGAAGAGGAGATAGATGACAAGAAAGTCCACATAAATTCATCAGAAAAGATGAATAGTCTGGCAGAGACTGTCCTGCCTGCCTTTGTACATTAGATTCTACTGTAAAACAACACATACATGAAGTTACTCTTTCAAACTGCGCTTGCAACAGAAGCCTACAAAATTTCAAAAAGGGAACTGAACACTCCAGAAAACTGACAGGAGAAGGGAAGAGAA